GTATTTTAAAATGGGAGGTGGTATTTTTCAATCACCCTGTATATATATATATATATATATATATATATATATATATATATATATCACTTTTAGTGATTATGATATAATGTAAAGAAAATATTGTCATTTATTCAGAAGAGATTAAATGTTTTCTTTTCTACTCCCTCCCGAAAAAAAATCTGACCAGATAACCAAACATAAGATTTCTTATGGGATCCATTCTTGTTCGGTTCTAGAACCTTTCAGTATTTCCACGTTTTATTAGGATGTATCAAAAGTATTTTCGATTTTTACGAACTTTTTTCTCTAAAGCTTATTTTATGTATAGATATAAAAATTATTGGAGGCACCAAATTAACTATTTAAGTCCTTTTACCCAAGCAGTATTTCTCCCTCAGGAGGGGTTAGGGTCATTACCTGGCAACTGAGGCGTCCACTAAAAGATAAGTGTCGAGAGGACTGAACTATTTTTATCCTTTGGTCCTTTGTTAAACTGGATACACCAACTTCAAAGTCGGTCTTGTGTTACATTCCGTCCGAAACTTGATAAACGAAAAGAAATATATAAAATGTCTATGGACTCATAAAGAAGAAATATATCTTGGAGACTGTAACACCCACAGAGCTAATCGAAGGCACGAAATAGCAGAAGAAATAATTGACTTAACAATTCTTAAGAAATAGCGGGAAGAACAAGTACCACAAAGGAACAAATATTGGTGAGATCAAAAATAAAAAGGAAGCTGTGGAGAGTCACTTTCTGAAAGTCACTATATGTAGAGAAAGAAAGCTAAAATAATTATTACATTCGAATAGATACATGATTTTATGTTTCAATCTCAAAATATCGCATAAAAGACTCTGTGTGTGTGTGTGTGTGTGTCTGTGTGTGAATGTCTGATTGTATGCGTGCGTGTGCGTATGCGTGTGCGTGTGCGTGTGCGTATTCGCTCAAAAAGATTCAAGGACCGATGAGTCAAGTAAACGAGAAATGTCCCAGTTTGTAGCATAGAAATTTCTGTACGTATGAGCTAGGCTGAAGTATTTTTTAAAAATAAGGAAATAAAAAATACAGGTTTGATAACAATTAAATGATTTGTATTTCTTTTTTGTAAAATTATATAATTTAAGAATTTAAGTATTTCCACTGTTTTCGCGGAAAAACAGCATAGCGTAAATGAAAAATGCCACAAACTGAAAGAAAATAAAGTATTATCGTCAAAATGCTTATGTTATTAAGATGAAAGAAAAAAGTATTTTTTAATTATTTTTTGAAATTTTTTAATATTTTCTAACACGTTCGAAATTTTGGTTAAAGTCGTCTTTGTTTACGTCATCGCGGTGACGTTTAAAATAACAGTTTTTTTTTGCGTTTTTTTACCGTTGAAAACATATTGATTTGGAAATTCTTGTAAAAATAAAATAATTGTCCAATCTTAATGAAATTTTCAGGACTTATTCACAAATGAATGAAATTATTTTTCAAATATTTTGTTTTTAGAAAATTTTGGTAAAAAATATATTTTTTTTAAATATGTTACCCCCCACTTAGTTAATTTCATGAAATTTCGCCCAAAACCTTTTTGGCTCCTCAATTTTATTTTTTGTTAAAAGAAGGAGTCTTTGGAGATGGTAAATAACCTACTTTTCTTTCACAAATTTGAGCTACTTAACTGAAAATCTTGTCTGAATTGAAAAATAATGAATCAATAAAACTATGATATTACTTAATTAGAAAAGCTTTTAATTGCTTTTGTAAATAAGTAATATTAAGGACATTATTGTCTGAAGAAATAATTTTTTCTGATGAATAATTAATTTTTACAAGAATTTTTTCGTTTTTAAGAAATTTTAATTATAATAATTTATAATAGTTTAACATCGTGTAAAGCTCTGTATTAGGAGGGCTCCTCAATATTATGTAGTAATTAAGTAGAAAAAAAATTTACGAATCCAAAAATGCTAAGTTTAATAAATTTATTTGAGCTACTTTTTTTTAAAAATAATTTTTTATGTTGTATTTTTTTACTTAATACATTCCTTATTTCCATGTATAATATACAGAAATTGCCATTATTATAACAAGGTCACGTGATCTAAGGGTTTTGTCCCTTTACGTGGCCTTTTCAAAACATTTCGTTTCTTAGAGGTTGTGTTTTCCGTTCAAAAGTGTAAACTTTAAATTATTTTTTCTTTTTTTCATTTACTATTTCACTAAATTATTTTATGTATTGTATTGTGTGTGTCATACTCAAATAGAATATTTTTTTTAAAAACTCAGACTTAAAAAAATTATGTCATTTATGGTCATCAGTAGTAGCTGTCATTGGCTCGTCAATCAATCATTATCAATAAGATCGAACAGATGAACGGGACCGCTCGTTAATAATTGGTTGTATATTATTTTTTTATGCTATAAGTAACAAAGATTTCTTTGAAATCAGATTACTTTAACTTTAAATTTTTTAATTTTACTAAAATAACATGTCAGAATTTTTTAAAAATATTTTAAAAATCGATAAATTTGTGTTTGTTTACAAATTTCTTAAAATTAAGAAAATGGCCATTTTTAAGAAAATTTAAAAATTTGAAATTAAATTTGACAATCAAATGTATATAGTTTCTATCTGAAATACACCAGAATTGTTTAATTAAGAAATCGTAAATTTAGTTATTAAACTTTCAATTAAAGCTAAAATGAAATCTTCAAGAATGGTTTTTCATTGTAAAAAATTCATTTTAAACTTCAATATAGAAAATTTATGCCGAAATAGTGGAGGTACTTATTTAAGATCATAAGATTTGTTTGCGAATTACGAAAACACTCTCAAAATATAACTTTTCAAAATTACTTTTCATTTCAAGGGAGGATACTCGTAATTAAACTTTTGGATTATCTCCCCTATGTTTTGTGGTAGATCAAAATGGGGATGATAGATTAGGAACGATTACTAAAAAAATGATGATGATGATGATGATGATGATGATGAGAGAAGAAGAAGAAGAAGAAGAAGAAGAAGAAGCAGCAACAACAACAACAACAAACAAAATGATTGACACAACTCTTCCAATATTTTGCAACCATTTCAGGTGATTTAAGACAGTATTTAACAATGTTTAACAATATTTCGAAATTAATGTCTTCTTTAAAACGTTAGGCTGTTTTTATTATATTTAAGAAATAAAACCAACATTTAACTTGAAAGATATTTAAATTGTTTAAAATGCGTGTTTTAATTTGTTTGCTAGTTTCTTTTTTAGTAAGTCTTGGCTTTCATTGCCACTGTTTATAACCAGTGAAAGAAAATAAATATGTTTTATTAAATTAAGTACGCACTGACTATACACATGATTTTTTTAGTTTTATTTAATTATCTTGTAAAGGTTTCAAGGCAACATTTAAAGACGTTCTAATTTTTTTTTTTTTACTGAAATAACATCTTCCGATATTTTTCTTTAAATAAACAGCTACTGTCGGATAAAAAATGTATTTCTACGATATTTTAAACTTAAAGTAAACAATATTTGTTTCAAATCAGATTATTAATTATACTTTAAATCAGTTAATAATATTCTTCAAGTAAAGTTTCAGAAAAGTATATTTTATTTTTGGAAAATTTTTAATACAGATAATGACATTGTGATGAAAAATAACTAAAAAAAGTCGCTCATCAGCTATCTTTTTAGCAAAAAAAAAAAAAAAAAAAACAAAAAATACTCCTTTCAGTCAAATTAAATTACTTTTGAAATACAACAAAGTATTTTGCTTATTGGAAATATTAAATTTTTAATCTATTAGCTTGAAATTAAAAGTAAAAAAAAAGAACATTTAAAAAGATTTTTCATTTAAAAAAAACATTTTGAACTTTAGATATTATTGCTTTTTCTGTGGTAGTCTCTATACAACTATTTTTCATCAACGTTCAGTTTTAAACGTGTTCACGACATATCGAAAAGTGTTAACTGAAAAAAAAAAAAAAATTCCGCTAGATTTTCTATAAAAATAACCTGTTCAGTATAAAATAATTCATTAATGAATAAGTGGTGAAAATTTCATTTAAATCGGATTATTCTCTGAGTTTTGGACATTTTTTTAAACAGTCGGGAGCATTTTTTTGGCTTTCATTAGAAAAAATTCATTTACTCTGCCGGTACGTAAAAATAAAATTAAACCGTTAATTGTACCGTGAAACTAAAAATAAATTTGTAATGATCATGTCACAACATGTTTCGCATTAAGTGTAACTAGATTTTTTAATTTTTAAACATTATTTCTATTTCTTTTTTTTTTTTTTTAAATTTCGTTAAGTAAAATTAACTTAATATATTTTTAATTTTTTAAATGTTGACAACGTCTTTCAAGACTTGACACTGGTCATCAAATCCCACCTGGGAAAGCGCAAATTGACTTCTTAGAAAAAAAAGGATAAAAAATTACTTCTAGAAAAAAAAAAGGTTGGAAAATTAGTTTTTAGAAAAAAAAAACAGAATGAGAAAAATAACTATAAAATAAGACAGAAGAAATAAATAAAACACAGCCTATAAAATACTTTTCCTCCGAACTGGTGTACATACGAAAACAAAAAACGGAGAGTTTTGGAACTGACAATAGGTGACCGCAAGTCAGAAACACGTGATAAACATAATTTAATGACGTCATCAAAAGACGTGTATCAAAGTACGCATTGTGTTTCCTTCGACGGCATTCTGAAGAGAAAGAAGCTTTATTTTGTGGAGATTTATTTACACTAAACTGGTTTATTTACTTTTAAAAATTGTACAGTTATATTTTAAATCTTTCACGTTGTTTATTAAGTATCGGGTAAGGTGTTCGAAGAAAAAAAAAGTGGAAAATATTTAGTTTCTTTTTCTCTTGTTTGTTCAAAACGTGGAAGAAGAAATTGTTTTTCCTGTGGTTTGTTTTTTTTGGGGGGAAGATTTAAAAATTGAAAACAATCATCAGTTCATCCTGTGTTCGGATTTTGTTTTCTCTACAGACTATGAATAATGCCAGTGACAACGAGACAGTCACTCAGCACACGAATAATAATAAACACGTCGTTCACATTAAACCGAAATTTGAAGACTGCAATATGACAACAACTGGTCTTCTTCTTTCTGGTGGTAATAATAATAATAATAATAGTAATAATTCTTCATCTTGCTCAGTTGTTGATAATAACAATGCCGACGAGACTGAATGGAGAAGAGATTGGCAACCAGACCTCAAATGTTGTCCCTGGAAAGTTTTGCAGGCTGACCATTATGTTTATTTGGTAAAGGCGAACTTTTTGCACGATTCCTACCAATTCCTCATCACCGATCTTAACCATTTCTGGTATGAATCAATCACACACTCAGAATTTTTGAATCGGCTTCAGGTGAGCAAATAATTAAATTTAAAAATTAAAAAACAAGAAGAAAGAAATAAAAATATATGTCATAAAAAAGGTGAAGTTGATCTCTACTGCAACTAAAAATAATCAAACAAAATTTTAATTTTTTTTTTTAAATCACTCCAGACAACAAGCGTTTATAAAAAAAATATAAGAAAATAACAAACAAATTAGAGATGAATAAATTATTTTAAGGGGGCCTAGTTTTCTATATGTAAATTCATTTTAAGTGTGTGTGTGTGTGTAGAGGGTGGGGTAAGATATTTAAAAAAAAAAAATTTTCACCAAGATTTAAAAAAAAAGTTCATAAATAATTTCATTCATTTGTGAAAATAAGTCCTTAAAGTTTCATTAAAATCCGACAATTATTTGATTTTTGCAAGAATTTCCAAATCTGTGTTTTTCACCGAAAAAAGCGCAAAAAAAAAAAAAAAATTCTAACCTTTCATTCTGTCGGTAAGCAATAAGATTTTTAATCAAAATTTCGAACGTGCTGGAAAGGATTAACAAATTAAAAAAAAAAAAAAAATAATAATAATAAAAAATACTTTGTTTGGTCTTTCCTAAACATTTTGATGACAAAACTTTGTTTTTATTGAATTTGGATTTTTTTTCGTCATGAGTTTTGTTTTTTTTTTTTCCGCGAAAAAGTAGAAGTACCTATGTAAATTGATCACCCTCTCGAAAAACAAATATGCCTCATGCAACTTATGTAAATTAATAAATAAAAGGTGCCTCACATAGATTTCCTAAAAAAAAGATAAGCATACATGATTTAAAAAAAAATGTCCCAAAAGACTTAAAAACAAAGTTTTATCGTTAAAATCTTAAGACAAAGACGAAAGGATTTTTTGATGATTAAATTTTTTATTCTTTTTAGCACCTTCAAAATCTTCGATTTCGTTTTTCAGTATATTTTTAATTCCGAATCTGCTAGTGCTTCATCGATAATATATGAAAAATGAATCCAAGATAACGAATTTTAAAATTTAAAAATAACGATTTTGGAAATTTTTAATAGATATTTAGCGTGGGGCTTAAAATGCAAATTTACCTTTAAAAAAATTGCATTAAATAAAAAAATGAAATTCTGCGCTTGTGATTTAATAATAATAATTTTTTGTAGAACAAAAATAATCCTTGCAATCAGATTTAGAGATAAAATTAAAAATACTATGTGAAATGCAATTTTATTTATTCCAAATAACTATTTAACCCCCATAAAAGAATTAAGTTTTATTGATTGCAGAAGTTCAATTATTTCATATTTTTTTTTAATGACGAAAAAAAAAAATTATGCCCAGAATATGAAGTGAGAAAGTAATTGAACATAGTTGGTATGGAAAAAACATTTTGGATGCTAAAATGGAACATACCCTAGTGTAAAAATGTGGCAAAATTATTAAATTACTACCTCGAAATTAATTTTTTTATGGTTTTACGTCACATGGTATATATTTCTTACAAAGCATGATCAACAATTTCTGTAACATGAATCAGTGTTTTGTTTCTCTCATTTTTTTTTCATAATCAGTCACCTCACATGCCATATTTGCTCTCATGGTAAGGCAAATTTTGGTAGGAAAAAAATAAATTTGCATTTTTGCATTGCTTTCATGTGATTTATATCTATATTTATATATTATTTTATTGACATTTGAAAATTTTGGTTATTTTTATTTTTTTAGTCTTTTACTTAACAGGTATTGAAGCAAAATTAAATAAATGAATGGGATTTTTGTGTCACAAGTTCAAACTCATTGACAGTACTTGTGGTCTGGAGACAGCTTGAGAATGGATTGACTGAATTCTGTCTTTGAAATTCACTTTTCACATTTTAAATATTTATGATGAATCTGATCATGGTTACAAGTTGTCACCAAACATTGAACAATTGATAACATTGTGACATCCAGAAACAAATTCTTTGGTATTTGAAGCAAAACTAAGGTTAGCCTATACAAGAGTCAAAAGTCCTCTTGCACAAATCTGCAAAGTGAAGAAAATGCAGAAATGGATACACCATGTTTTCATTGGTGATCATGCATGATTTGAGACTTGCTGCAGTCCTTTTTCTCTATTTTGTGCTTACTGTTGATGAAAAATCATTTCTATTTGATAACTGGAAATATAACAGTCTCTAAGTTAACAAATATGCTCCTCCTCTTAACTTTCCCAAAACCAAAGGCAGATCTTGACCCTTGAAAAGATCCTCCTGTTTGGTGATGCTGTAGGGGGCACAGTGGAGTAATGTATAGTGGCTATGATTGGAGAGCCGAATCTATTACATTCACTTACATGCTGATACCCTTGGGAAAGCTATGAATCTTCTTCTTCTCCACCCAGCTATGGGTAAATAGCAGGACAGACCAGGTTCTATAGCCTTGGATGGCAAATGGTCTACCACAGAAAGAAATGGCAACCTATTTTGGGAAAAATCTGCCTTATCAGTCATGTATCAAAAGATGATCACCTAAGTGTGTATCATGCATGGCACATAACTGACTGTAATTGAGCAGCCCATCTTGCAACCTGGTCAAACTGTTATTACAGAGGTCAGTCGTTATGATATGTACCTTTATATCAGAAACATAAGACATTTTTATGTTTATACATTTTTTTTTCTATAGATACAAATATTTAAATGCTCTGTTTATAATAAACAGTATTAACAACATTTACCGGCCTGAACGTCCGAGAAATTGTCATAGAAAATATACGTCCTCCGACAGGAATCAAACCTGTATCCTATACGGAGACCGTCATATAGCCTGTCGTGCTTTTACCGATTTTGCCACAGAGGAGCGTTTGGTTAGCAAGGTCGATTTTACTGTTTTTTTTTTTTTAACTGTACTCTTCCATGATTCTCTCACGTACATTCATATCTGCTCAATGCATATCCAAATGTAAACAAATGACATCCCACATTATGAAATGGATAAAGTTCGACAAGTTTGGATACGCATGTTGATCAAAATTTGCTATATTTCTCTGATAAGAATTCTTAATATACTGGATAATATGGATGTAGGAATCAACAATGCATGGTGACAGTCAGTTCCATGTCCCAGTGCATTCTTCAAACTGCTAGTTTCACTCTTATGGTGTGAAAATGACAGTTATAACCTATTACAGTTATATTTTTGAGTTATATATATTTCATCATTTTATCAATGAATAAGAATATAGATGAGAATAAATACTAAATAATGATGATGCTCGTAAAGGAATTCCATTTTGTGTAAATACACTACACATTGTTACCAATGAAATACAAAGGGTAGGAAGAAGAGTCAACCCCATGTATGTGACATGGTGGGTCCTGTCAGTGTCGGCCTTGACATCAAGAACCGAGGAATGTAGTTCAAATAAAATAGTGATAAAGTTGTGAGAGTCCAACAATATTTAATTTCTGAGAAAGAGGCTGGAAGGTGAGAAATAATTCATCACCCACAAGGCCATACAAATGCTTTTCAACTCTGTCAAGGGTGAAAAATTAATGCCTTGCTCCCCTATCCTGCTCTTCATCCTTTCCTCTATCACTCCTCTTTGCTCTCACTCCAATTCTCTGTAACCCCTTGCGTACTAGTGGCTTAAAAAAAAAAAAAATTGAGTTTAAGAAACAGAAAAAAATATATTGTTGTTTAAAGATTTGAGTATATTTTGCATTTGCATAGGTTGGAAATAAAGTTTGGCTTTTGTACTATTTTTGCTTTCAGAGTTTCTTTTCACATTATTTCCATGGGGGTGGGGGGTCAATAGATTGTATGATTATTATATGTTCATGTTACATAGGCTTATAATATTTGTTAATGGTTGTTATGAATATCACTACTAAACTTTATTGAGTTTTCCTATACAGTTTTGAATGCTAAACTTCGTGATACTTATCCCCTATAATTCCTGAACTTTTAGAAGGGCATTTTTGCATCTACAATAAACTCTGCAACAAGTAAAATATTGATGACTTTCTGATATAAAAGTGCAATTATTGAACTCAGTATTCATATTTGTGTGTGTGTGTGTGTGTGTGTGTGTGTGTGTGTGTGTGTGTGTGTACACACACTTCATTGAAATTCTATTAAAATCCTGACTTGGCTTCTTGACATCAGTCACTTTCTCACCAACGTGATGTGGCTTCCCTCTGTCTTTTCTAAAAATGTTTCCATGGCCATTGCTCTGATGAACTTTTTTTCCCTGGAACTCTGACTACATGAATTTAATCATACTACTAGGTTGGCATCTAGATCGCACCTGTTTACTGTTGAAATAGCTAATTCTGCCGCCACTTCTACTCCAACAATTTATTTTCTTGCACTTCCTACCTGTGGAACTCACTTTCATTTATTTTGCTTCCCTGATAACTACAATCCATAAAAATTTAAATGCAATGTTAGTCACCATCTTCTATGTTCTTGAATCCCATTCATCTTTTGTCCTTTCCTCAATCATTCCTATACTCAGTCTTTTCTCTCACTTTCACTCCCTGTAATCCCCCTGTGTACAGGTGGCATGCCTGCTTTCCTTGGAATGAAATGAAATAATTTAAAAAAAAAAATCTTTTTTTACAGTGTTTTTCTAGGCTGAAAACAGGGGATTTAAATTTAAAAATATTTTTTTTTTGTACAATTATGTTATTTTTAAGGTTTGGTTGGTAATGTAATGCTTTATTGAATTTTAGGTACTTTGGCATTAAATTTACTATAGTTACTGCACTTATTTTCTGATAATGTTGCATATGGATGTATTTATTTACAAAAAATGCAATTTTTATACACATCAAAAAATTCAAAATTCTTTTTAAAATAGTGGGGCTTGCTGAATTGTAGTAAGCTTTTTCATTTATGATTAGTAAATAGTTTTTATTTATCAAAAGTATCACCTAACCTCTACAAATTAATTTTGAGAGATTTAAAACTTTATAAATTATTATAATTAAAATTCAATGAAAAACAATTTTTTCTTAAGACAATAGTGTCCATAATATATCTTAATCATAAAAGCATTTCTTATTAAACAATGTCTAAGTTTTATTGCCTTTTTATTTTACAATTTAGAGTGGATTTTTGGTAAGGGGGAGGGGTCATGTTTTACAAAAAAAAAAATTATTTAAATTCTGCAAGGAGTTCTGCATATAACTAATAGAAACGTTAAACTATACAAAAATGAACTTCTCAAAATCTCATAAAATTAAATAAGTCACAGGGTGGGTAAGAAATGTAGAAAAAAAAAATGTTTTTACTAAGATGTTCTAAAAGAGAAAAATTTCTGAATTTAAATCATTAGGGCTTAAGTCCTGAAAGTTTCATTAAAATCTGACAATTATTTGTTTTTTTGCAAGAACTTCCAAATCAAGTTATTTTTCATTGCAGAAAGACACTAAAATTTCTTATACTAATTTATGATCATCTGTTATCTGTTGATACAAGAAAAAAAAATTTTTAACACTCTCTAAAAAGGATGAAAAAATGTAATTTAATAATTAAAAATTCCTTTGGTCTTTCCTTTTAATAATAACAGATTTTGATGATAAAACTTTGTTTTTACTAAGTCTGGGGCATTTTGTTCACCATGCATGCTCATTTTTTAATGAATTCTTGGCTGTACATACATACATACAGTTAGTTAATACTTTTAAAAATATATAGTAAAAGTGCTTGACTTTAAAGAAAATTTAATTACTGTAGCTACTCAAGTTTCACCCTGGAAACAAGGATGCTCAGGCTATATTTTTATTTTTATATATATTCTATATTTTTTAATTTAAATACCATCACAAACTTTTGTATTTAGAATAGATAGTAAACAATATTTTCTTACAAAATTTTTTTGTTTTGATTTGAATATTGCTGCCACATCTGGTCTAAACTACATTCGCGTCCAGAGTAAGATGATAAAATACATCCAACAGCAAGGCCTCTGATCAGGAGGCTTTGAGGAGCATTGAACCATCTCTTAATTGCTGGTGTTCCCAGGTCCACCCTGACCCAGGGTGGTAGCACCTGTTAGGATCCCAGCTATGGGCAAATAGTTAACCCTGAAACTGAGGTAAAAAGCATTATAAAAGTGTAAAAATAGGTTTACCAGAAATACTTTGTAAAAAATTATTACCAGAAATAGATTTTTGAAGAAAAAAAATATTACCATCTATACATTTTTGAAAAAAATATTATCAGCTATATATTTTTGAAAAAATGATATCACCAGCTATGCATTTTTGAGGAAAAAAATATTAACAGAAATAGATTTTTGACAAAACAAAAATATTACCAGGAAAAAAAAGTTGTCGGCATTAAATGATCCATTGAGGTTGATATGCCGTAAAACAAAACAAACAAATCTATGGTGCCTAGACTTTATGAATTTAGGCCCAGTACCGGTTTCATGTCAAGGTCTCATCATCTTAGAGTTGAAATGGCTAGATTTAACTGTAAGTTCTATGTTAACAGTTTTAACTTGTTGTTTGTGGAATTCTCTTTCAGCTTCTTACTTCCCAGTCAAGAATTTAAATGCAATATCAATTGTTATCTTAATTTTTTTAAATTTCTTAATTTTTGTTCTTCTATTGTCCACTCTCCTTAATAGTAGTTTTTCTCATATTCTCTAACACTCAGTAACTCCTTGCATCCTAGTGGATTTATTGCCTTGCTTGGGGTAAAATGATTAAAAAAAAGAAAACTAGTAAGTAAAAGATCAGAGGTACTTTTCAGATGTATACATGCTAAAATATATACCACCAGAATAAAGCATATGTCTGAGTTCATTAAAAAAGAATTCCATAGTATTTAAATAGGCAATTTTCAGGTGCCATTTAAAATAAGATTATATTAATCTGACTTGAAGATCTCCCTGTTTTCAAGGTGAGATTTGATTTAGCTATAGTAATTATATTTTATATAAGCTCTAATTATAATCAACCACATTTACTGCATACTCTTAGAAGCAGTTGGCAGTAACTAACCATGTGTACCTTCAAAAATTTGCTAAAAATGTGCATGCATGATGGTAATTATATATATATATATATATATATATGTATATATATATAGTCAGTGCAAGAGTTTTGTTGTACCCTCCTACTCACCCGCCATATATATATATATATATATATATATACATATACATATAAATATAGATAACTAGACTCGTTTCGAAAAACCCTCGAAGTTTTGATTTGCTAATCAAATCAATCTCGAGGGAAAAAAAGGTTTTAAAAAAAGAAAGAGCTACAAACATGAACTTCTGCCGACAAAAAAATCGCACAGATGCAGGTCTGAAGCCCAAAGAAAAAACCCCGATACGAGTAACAACTAACTAACAAAAGAGCTCAATACAACGATCCGTTTAGGTGAAACCTAGGTAGGTTGTCTGGCTCACTAGTTGTATCTATATATATATATATATATATATACACACACACACATACACACACGTTGTTTTCCTTTCTACCAATAAATTAAGAATTACAATCACATGAACTATAATCAGAATCATATTACATATTTCACTGTCATTTTGTTTTGTTTTTATGTTAAAATTGTCAGTCTTCAAGATTTTGTCTGTTTTTCTTTCAGGAACTGAATCCAAATTTGGAAGCACCAACAACTAAAATCCTTGACCATATAAAAACCAATTTGGAAAAAAACTCTTCAGACAATTTGAGTATCTCAAAAGAGGAAAGCAAATCCAGACTGCATCTTTGGATCAATTCTGATTTGGCTGGTTTCCCATTTTGTTGGCAGATGATTGGAGAATCTGCTCATGAAGAAATGGTAAATTGTTTTCACAGATTATTATTTACACAAAAGAGGCATTTCAAGAATATTTGGTGTCCTTGTCACATTTTTGTTTTAGTGTATTTGCAGATAGTGTAATGATTTATTGTGTGGAAAGTAGAATTGGAGGGCTGAGTTCAAATTCAGACTGCGTCTGTTACACTCACTTTTATGCTAATGTTGGGAAATTCATAAGTCCATTTATTCTCCTCCAAGCTATGGGTTAAACAGCAGGGTAGAATGGCCTCTTGAACTTTGGATGTTAGTTAATCTAGTAGAAGGATGATTTTAAGTTTTGCAATTCCAACATAGATCATCTGAAGTGTACAATGGCCAAAACTTTGTGAATATCGCAATAAAGATGAGGCTAACAGTCAATGTAAATAGTGTAAATAGTTACAATATCTCATCTCAGATATGTAGACAGATATATTTAATTTGTTTAATTCATATTTGTTTAAATGTAAATATTGGATGGTAGCTAGTCTAGGAGAAGGACTGCTTTATAGAAACGGTAGCAGTAACCACTCTGCTATCTTTACAGAAAAAGCATAGCAATTCGCAGATGTTAAGATAAAGGAAGCAGTGGAGAGGCATAACCTCAAGTGTTCTGAAGGGAAATATGTTATTAAAAAAGAAAAAAACTTTTGCTGTGTTATGTGTTGTTGCAGTGCTTAGGAAATTTTCTTCTCTCTGCCATTTTTTCTTCACCTACCCAAACTGTAGAGGTGTAAATCTTTGTAATAGTTAATGTCGTTAAAAACAGAATTGGTGTACAGGGTTCAAATTCTGGCTGAAGCTGTGTATCTTTCAATTTTATTCAAATGTCCTAAGCAACTAAACCTCTTGCTGTACTCTCTCCAATGTTTCATCTTTTGACAAAGTCTCATTGTTGCTATGCAACAATAATTTGAAGGTGAAGAATGCAGTCAAGTCAAGGTTTCTTCCCAGCTACAGCCACTATGTAACCTACATCTTTTATGGAAAATGTCTCCTCACAACTTCCTATCCTTTGTAGCTCTAAGCAATATTTATCACCCCCACCAATTCCCAGTCTAGCATTCATTTACACCAGCTCATTAGGGAAGTTATTACTTGCTGTTTCTCTTTGTTGATCCTGCCTTCAATATATCTTTTGAGTGTCACATTCTCCAAGTCCTCTTTCCTCATTATGTATCCCAGACGTTTTAACTGTCTCTTTCTTATTTTATAGTATTTACATTCCAGCCATGAGAACCTGTTTTGAACAAAAGATCTTTTTATTTACATTGTTCAGACTTATCCTCATCTTTATTGCCATATTCATGACGTGTTGGCTGTTGTATGCTCTGGCCTTCTTCAGGTGATATTGGAATTTCAAACTGAACCCTTTATTTAGTACACAGGGGTTGACTATTCTACTTCCACATGTCACACCTTAGAATATCCCAGTTTCAGTTAATTCTCCTTAGTAACTCAATTCTACAAGTTTTTGTTTCCTCTGCTGTTGTCAGGTATTGAACTCACAATTCTTTGGATCAAGTCACTTTTTGGATCACTCAACCAATGCTTTTACCCACTGGACCATGGGTTTGGTTTGAAATTCCAATGTATATCACCTGAAGAAGGCCAGAGGGTTCTCATACTATATAATGTTATTTAGAGAGAAGATCGGTTTTGACTGAGTTGAATAGCAATAGGGAGGTTCCGATTCAAGAAATCATGTCTAAGATCAGAATTTCAATGGTCTCACAAGTCTAATTTAAAAAAAAATACAGGGACTGTTAATGAAAATGGTAAAAACTTTACATCACAACTCACAATACATAACTAGATCTTCACTGAACTGGGAGAGCTTAAAAAAGTGTTGTTTTATTGGGGTTCCAAATGTTCTGATTGGTTTGAGACTGGTAAGGAAGTGCAAATAATTACCATATTTTAAGGCCTATCTTGAGGGGGTTAAATTGTCTGTGAGTATGTATATGTATTTCTGTAAATTCAAAACATTTCAACTGTTTATTTTTACTGCTTATGCAGTGTTCCAGATTTCAAAGTTCAGGTGATTTTGTTTTTTTTTTTTTCCCTTAGTATAAAGGAAGTAACTTTTCCATTTTTGTTCATACATATATAATTATATATATATATATATAATATCGCACATTAAGTACTGGTGTTAATAAAATTGTGGTTGATGCAATATAACAAAGCTATATACTAATAAATATACATTTTCCCACAGCAGTAGTACGACTCAGAGCTACAGTCAGAATGCAATCTTCAAGATTTTTTGCTCATACATATATAATTTCATATATATATATATATATATATATATATATATATATATATATATATATATATATATATATATATATATATATATATATATATATATATATATATATATATATATATATATATATATATATATATATATATATATATATATATATATATATATATATATATATATATATATATATATATATATATATATATATATATATATATATATATATATATATATATATATATATATATATATATATATATATATATATATATATATATATATATATATATATATATATATATATATATATATATATATATATATATATATATATATATATATATATATATATATATAATCAGCAAGCAAATGTAAATTGGGCAAGGTAGCTAAGTATATCCACAGCAAAGGAAATGCTAATTTTCTTTTATTTGTTATTTTTTAACCATTGCCATTAATTTGCGACTAATATTTTCTTTAATTCTCTAACTTTACTTAAGTTTTATTGCAATTTGAGTTTAGTAAAATTACCAACAATACCTATTTATAGTAAAAAAAAAATGAACAATACCTATTTTATAGTAAAAGGCTTTATTTAAGAAAAAACATTGAATTTTGACATTAAATAGGGACAATACATTTTATAGCAAAATAACCAACAATACATTTTATCTGTAATTGAAGATATACAATCGCATTCAAATTATTTAGATTTTGGCATTAAAAACTTCCATAGAGGTTGACATGGGCTAAACAAAATCAAGCAACATGAAAGAACTCTTTCATGACATTAATCCATATAATATTTTCCTAAAGAAATCAAACTGTATTCTAAAATATAACTTCAATAAAACTACAACATAAAACAGATATAGTAATTATGTCCACACAAAAATGTATATGAACAAAAGCTGAGTATCATCTACCATGTATTCAATTGTGAGAGCAGAATAATATATAATCATATTTTATTACTTCAAAGCTCCCAAGAAAATTAAATTTCGGTATTGAATGACCCATAAGTAGTTGATATGCCATTACATATTAAAAAACAAAAAAAACTTACTGTCATAAAAATGACAACCTCAATAAAAACCTACTAATAAGTAAGTAAAAAAAGATGACATTGAAAAAAAAAAAATGAATAATGTGATGTCACACTAGTGGGTGTAGTTGTGACAAGTTTTGTGACTATGTTCTTTGATCGTCCATTGTTCACTGCACTGTTGATGATATCCAACATTGAGTATATTGGCATATACACCCAACTCTGTGCACGGGTTTGTCTTGTTGGCCACGATCGCCTTTCATCTAATAATAATAATGTTGGCAAATGTAAAATATTACCAGTCATAAAAATTTTGTTGTTATTAAATAACCCATTGAGGTTGATATGCTGTAAAACAAAACAAACCAAACTGACTCAAAGATGGACTGGAGATGAAATTCCTATGAAACTCAGGCAACTAAGTGGACTTAAAAGGAAGGAATTTATTTCCTTATCTTCTAAAGATGTGTGAGAAATCAGATTGTTACAATAATAAATTATTATTGTCAAGCAATTACAGTAAAATAAAAATTACCTTAGAATTTTATGAAAATTTTGTAAAATATTCAGATTAATTTCTGCTTTTGCCAATTTTATTTATTTATTTTTTTTTCATCTGAATTTTTTACTTTCTGAAAATGAACATTTGTTATTGCCTGTCATAAATATAAATGTTACTAAAGTCACTGTTATTTGTCTTTGAAGGTTTCTGAGAATACAACTATTCCTCTTTTGATGATGGTCTCTGAACTGTATCGGCGCCAGAAGGCACTGCTTCGTATCATATTTGAAAAGGACAAAGAAATTGAGAACTACAAAGCCCAAGGCTGCAAACTTACGAAAAGTGAGTGACACTCTTTTAAATTTCCTTGTTTCCTTTGTTGCAGTGGATGTAAGCAAAGTTATTGTGAGGGGTCATCAGGACAGATCTGTTGTAGAGTACGTCTCAGCGTACTTCCTTCTTTTCCCTACAACTGTTACAATCAATGGACTGCTCCTACTTATAAATATGGCAAGTAGCTACATTAGAGTAGGATTTGAGGAATAGTTGCTCTACTCAAGTTCTTCTCTTCTATGAATGAGTATTTGATAAACCTCATCTTTGTTTTCCCTACCTAGTCTTCTGTTCTTTTGATACTCTCTCTAACTATGGCCTTCCTAATTCTAGGCTATTTTGAACAAAAACAAATACTATAAGTCATAGTGTTAATATTTGTTTTATGTTGTCTAGATAATCTAGATTGTTAGAGTAAATAAAGGTACCAAGCAAGTCACTGTTAAAGACTATTGAAGAAGATTATTGTACTAAGAAGACTTCAGGTGGTTGCAGTGATTAAGAGTTAAAAACTTTGTCTGCCAGTATGATATTTTATGTTCAATTAAAAGCTATAAAAACATTTTAAAATCTTAACTTTAATCGATGTAATTTAAATTAATTAATAGTTTTCTCTTGTACTTTCTGCTTGACTCTCTCAGCAATTGAGCAACTGGCAAGATTCTTAAGTGGGGTTCTCCAGATAACAGGCAAAAAACTGTATTTACCCATTACCACCCCACAAGGCAGGATATGGCACAAGGCCATTTTTATGTGAGGTTATTCTGAGCCTGAATGCCTGGGCAAAAATTCCACGTAGACCTCATATACATGAGGTCGGGTAGCTGTCTACCTCAGCAGACAAAACTCTGCCCTTTGGCATAGCCTCCTCTCTACCCAGAGGCAGAGAGGTCGACAAGCTGTGTTCCCAAACCTGGAGGTTTGGCAACAGACAAAAAAACGGTATTTACCTTTTACCTCCCCACAAGTCGGGATGTGGCACAAAGCCGTTTTTTACATGAGGTTTTCCAAGTCGGTAGACTCGGGCAAAAATTCCTTGTAAACCCCGTATCATGGGGTCGGGTAGCTGTCTACCTCCCCAGATGAGACTCTGCCCTTTGGTATAGCTCTGTCTGGGTTCCTCTCTGCCTGGAAGCAGAGTGGTTGACAAGTCATATTCCGAAACCCAGGGGGTTTGGCAAAAGACAAAAAACTAACTAGAGAAAAAAAAGCATTGTCTTTTATAGAGTTCTACTGGGTGATTTTATTCCAGTCAATAGCGGAGACATCTCTATTAAAACTGAAGTCTCAAGCTGGTTGTTAATTCACTCCCTGTGATGGACAGTAAATTTTATTTTTAGTTTATTTTCAACCATAAACTATTAAAATGTACTCAACCTACCAACATCCTTGGAAAGTGGGAACAAAGAGTTGGGACGATCTGAAAAGAACAACTTACCTTGTCCTGACCATTCATCACATATATATATATATATATAAATATGAAAAATAAACTTTTTTGTACTCAGAAGGAGCAACCTGAATGTACAGCATTTCAGGTTATCTATATGATAAAGCACTTCATTGTCAAGAATAGTGATCTTGTTTTCACTTCTTCTATTATGAGCTGCATCCTTTCAGGACATAGGTGATCATGGCTCTCCACAAATTTCTGTCTTGTGTGCTACTTAGCAGTTTTTCTCCCTTTACTAAGACCTCGAGTTTGACCATCCATTCACACAAGCTTGTACTTCCTCAGCATGTGTCCAAGGAATTTCAGCTGTTTTTTTTCCTGATTCTGAGTAGAATTGTTTTTTCTATTGCCATTTTCTATAAGACTTCTGTGTTACTTACTCACTCCACCCATAGAATTTTCAGTATCATTCTGTAGAACTGCCTCCTGTTTTTTCCTCATCAGTAGGAAAATTGTCTAGCATTCACCACCATATAAGAGGATGGATTTTGTATAGCAATCCATCACTTTTTTCTTTGCTTCTAACAAATTGTTTTTCATTTTCACTAGACAATTCTTTTATAGTACGAGCAGCATGAACAGTCTATTTGAAAATGTTGATGTAGATGGTTTACTATCCTTTATAAAAAAAGTGGGCCTGAACAACAAAATATGAAGATCTAACTAGACATTTGTTGTGTAAAGAATATTAGTACTATAGATACTGAAGATAACATCAATCAGCTAAGTGAAACATTTTATTTGTATTAATCCTGTAACCCCCCACACAAAAACGCACACAAGGTGACCAAATACAATGATCAAATCACTCACATACATGAATGCACGCTCATATACGGGAGACACGAGGATATATATACTCATGTTGACAAAACAGGGGAACTACTCATGAGCACACACCCAAACTCCACGCAACTTAGGAAGTATGTGTGTGTGTGTGTGTGTGTGTGTGTGTGTGTATACTGATTCCATGTAGCTTGGGAAGTATGTGTATATGTGTGTGTATGTACTGATTCCTTGTGGTGGGATGGTGTGTATGTGTGTATATGTACAAATGAGTTTACCAATTCCTCGTAGTAAGACAGTATATGTATGGAAAGGGAATATACTCACACATATATACACGCATGCTGACAGAAACACACATGCTGACAGAAACACACAAAAATGGAAACAGATCCAAGAATACATAGGGGCCAGTAAAACATTAAAAGATAAAATGCCGATAAGCAATTCATCATTTCGCTTGGACCAACCTTAATTGTTTTATGACCCTTTCGCACAGAACTCTTCATTGCCAGTTCAAGAAAGAAATTTGGATTACTAACACAAAAACAGAGAATGTCTCATATCGAGAATATTTAACATTGAACATAAGGAAAAAATTAATTATTTTTAATAATATGTGGAAATCTCCACTTTTACCTGAAGACGGTCATGAGACCAGAAACCCGTGTAGTAAAATTATGTAAAACAAAGCATAATATTTTTTTCTAAATAAATCCACATTACAACCAAAAACCTTTGCGTTTGCGGCACCTCTCTTCTCTTTAATATACATACTTTTCTCTCGTTGGAACCACTACAACCTCTTTCTTTTATATATATATATATATATATATATATATATATACACACATACACTTTTTCATGAAAATAATAAACATAAACTTAAAATTCTCAAAGCTATCTATATTAGATAATTGAAACCAAACCTTAATAAAATTAATTATGAATAGTGTACAAATGTTTTAAAATGTGTATAAAAGATAGTTTAAAATATCACTAATAGTTTTAATACTTATTTCTTAAAAAAAATCGACACACCATACTTAGTTACCTCCCCTGAAGCATGAGTCAATCGATCATGTATTCACTCAGTATTTCTCATTTCACAAATAAAAAATTTAACTTTCAGATAAACACAGCAAGTTTGTTTTTGAAAATGATGAACGCTACAATATTTGTCTTGAAATAAACAACACCATGATGACGGCATTGTGTTATATTGAAAGTACTTTGAATAAAATAATGTGTCAAGACAGTAATTTTTTCTCTTCCTTTAATAATGACACCAAAAAGCTTGTCTATATGAAAGGATCCAACTGAAAATAAGTAGACAAAACTTGTCTAAATTATTCAATAAAACATGTCTCTATATATATATGTATATGTATGTATATATATATATATATATATATATATATAATGTGTTTGTGTGTGTGTATGTGTAATTAATACAAGTAAAAGGTTTGTTACTTAACTGATTGATGTTATCTTCAGCATCCCAACTTCAGAGTTTCATAGATGGACCCTCTGAGAACCCTTCCATTTACTCGTCAGTGTGTGTGTGTGTGTGTGTGTATATATATATATATATAGTTTTGTCTGAAAATGGCATTTTTGTGTCTTTTTAACCTGTTTAGATTAAGCTAGTATTTTTTTTTTTAAACTAATCACCATCAGTTTAAAAGAGTTATCTCCCTTTATTTTTAGCATTAATTTATTTTTTAATTGTTTTCAACCACAAACCATTAAAATGTACTCTACCTGCCAACATCCTTGGAAAGTGGAAACAATAGTTGAGACGATCTGAAAAGAACAAGTAATTTGTCCTGACATTGTATCTGCTATACATATATATCACACTTTTTTTTTATACCCTGACAGAAGAGGAGCAGTCTGAAAATGTAGCATATCAGGCCATATTGTATGGTGAAGTGCTTCCTTGTCGACTGTGGTGATTTTGCTTTCAGTAGATGGCCATTTTTAGCTTGAGTAGCATAGGGAATTTATTTGCAAATTTTTGTGTTTGGATGACCTACTATTCTTCATTGAAAACTAGACGTTGGTTAGGAATACTTATATTTGAGTAGACACACTGTTTATTTTCAAACAGTATTTCATCTACCAACTTGTGTGCTAGAGAAAACTTACTAAAGAAAATGCACCCTTTAGTAGGATTCAAACCTGTGTCCTCCTTTTGTAGGATAATGTAGATTAAATAAGTCTATTGCTCTCCCAACTGTCACTTGTACAAATCCCAAGATCGCTGGTTCAATTCACCGTCCTTGCTTTCTTCACATGTCACTACGTATAGCCAATGTTTCTGTCCTGTTTTCATGGCTCCAGCACTCTTTTATCAGGCCAACACTGCGGTTCCCCAGCCAATCAGCGTTCTTCGCTGTTATTCTCGGTTACACAGGCAAATCAATCAGCACACAACTTGCTATTGGTGGAAGCATTCCAAACTGTACAAAAAAACCCTCATCCTTGCACATACTGCTAGAATGGCTGGACATGAGAGTAATGCCATTTTCATGGAGCAAACTTGCTGATGTCACGTGCCGCACGTTAAGGTAAGATCCTTATTTTCCTATACACCAGATGCAAGCCACTTTGGCTCACTTACGGGGCTGTTCACCACAGATCTGGCATGCTTTTACAGCTTGGCTACAGTGACACAATAAAGCAAGGTTCTACCTTTCAAGTTAAGACATAAAAAAGATTTATTAAAAATTACAGCATGCACAATTTGCAGAATAAAATTTGTCAGGGACAGAATGTACAAATTCAAATTTTTATAATCTTGGCTTTCCAGTCAAATTCCTGTGAATTGATAAATTTTTGCAAACCAAATTGTAAGTAACAATACTGCAATAGGTACAGATATAAAGCAAAGATTTTTAATTTATTATTTCACAATCATACGTTGATTTTGAAGGCCAGTGAGAAGATTGAGAGAAGAAACTGTTAGCATATAATTTATGGTTACATCTAGCCATTTCAGGTGTAAAATGAAGAGACCTAGTTGCCAATCTAGTACTGTGTTTAAATTCATAAACTGAAGGTACCAAAGAGGAAAGCTTATCAGAATAATTACCATGGAAATATTTATAGAAAAGGCAGAGGTAAAGTGACTGAAACCAAGATGCCAGGTTGGGACTGATAACATTACAGATTATTCTTTGTATTTAATCAAAAATCTCTGAATCCATAGCAGAAGCACCAGACCAGATGTGGCAGCAATACTCAATGCATGGCATAAGAAATTGTCTAGTATGGCTCAGTGAACCAATTTTCTTCGCAGTAGACTTAGCAATTGATTCAATATAATTTTTCCATTTCATGTCAGGGGAAAAAATTAGCTTGAGAAGTTGCAGTGAATCATTCTCCCATAGGTTAGCATCAGCCATATTGATAGAAGGCCAAAAACATTATCTAAGATGTGACGGACACAGATAGCCCAAACACACATACACGCATATATTAAGGTTAATCTCTGCCTGGCAACAGAAGAGGTCACGTGGAAGTTTTGAGACATTTTGGGAAAGCAAGTCAAGAGGCTGACTGACCCAATTACCCGTAGCAACAGATGTCTAGACAGAAGCTAGACAGGGGACTGATGTAAGCTGGAATTTGCGCCAAAACGCAGGACACGTGAGAGTTAGAAAATTACTTGGGAGTCAGTTGCTGTCTTGTCTTTGAAGGAGCAGGACTCGAAATCGAAGCACTGATAACTTATGAACGGAAAGATGAGACTCATTAGATAATGATGGAACTTGTCCGATTCATCCCAGACAACTCCAGACAAGAAATATAAGAACATGTATTTCTGTTCGATAACCTTAAATTGAAGACGAGAACTCGCATTGTTTATCACAGAAGACGCAAAGGAATTTGTACACTGAGAATACAGCCTGTGTTTGAAAAAAAGAGAAAATGAGAGAGGAAGTTTGAAACTGAACTGTATGCAGAAGAAGAAAGAAAGAAAAGAGAAAATCAGAGAGGAAGAAAGTATATATCACTGTTACAAGCTGAATTGTGTAAAGAAGAAGAAAGAAAAAAAAGAAAACCAGAGAGAGGAAGAAAGTGTATATCTCTGTTACAGCCGGACAGTGTGTGAAATCGTATTTGTGTCAAGAAAAGGAAGGAAAGAAAAGAGGAAATGTGAGAGAGAAAAGAAAGGACAATGATAAAAAAAGAGAACTGAATATAAAGATAAGTAATCATATATTTTGGACCCGTGTTAGATAATCCTGTATCCATAAATATTATGTTCTTACAAACACCTTTCCACATGTCAAAATAATAATATGTAACTCCTATCCCATCTCTTTTGGTTATGTGTTGATTTCTGCATTCGTAGTTATTCATACTTATATTTTTTTTGTCTGTTCAGGTTCAGTTGAATCCATTTGGAGTTAGGCATATTTTGATATACCAACATAAGTCTTGAGATCTAGTCGTCGGATGTTTTACTCATGCTTATATTTTCTTTTATTTTAATATTTTGTATATCTGTACATATTAAAGTTCTTATATCAAAATTCCCTATGCCTTATCGTTCATCCTTGAATTGTGGATCAGTATTCGTGTTGAAACCAAAGCGAACCTGGGAAAAGATTACTGTTTGATTATCCTAACCAAACAGTGTTCTTTAAAATATTTTTTTTTGTTTACTAATTGTCCATTATCATGATCTAGGAGAGATAGCCTGTATCTCTCCACAGGTGTGATAATGTATATATCTTCTGGTCGGCGTATGATCGCCTTATAAACCCATTCGTTGACTACAGCATATGACAAAGACAATTAAAAGAGAAAAGTTTCATTTTGGAGGCATTTAAATTAAAAAGTCATTTCTTGTACCAGTTAACAAGACTTCAAAAGCATTCAATGTGAAAAGGATTCCATATCAAAAAATCGGTTTATGTAAAAAGGAATTATTTTACAGCCATTACTAAAATTGTCTACAATGTTATACACTCTAAAATTCTATCAGAGAAAATATCTTTTTTGAATCTTCTTACCCTGTTTAGATTGCCTTCTTTTTTTTTTTTATCTCCCTTGATCTTTATCATTAATTGATTTTTAAAAATTATTTCTATTTCACGTTTTTTGCAGAGAATATTGCTACTGTGCCATTTGATGAAACAGTGTTTGAACACAGCATGGTTTTTTCTCAGGTATGTCTGACTTGGTGGACATATTTATTGTACATTATCAAGTATATCTGGTTTCACTAAGAGCTAAATTGTAAAGAATTGATGATTGGAAGTTGGTTGGTGATCTGCTAACTTGTTTCTTTCCTTGCTTCTTTTCTTAACTCAATCTCTGGAAAATGTGGACATTGAGGTCAACATCCAGGCCGACAGTCTGTTTTATGATTAAACTCAATCTTCTGAACATGGGTGTTGTGTTTTGGTTTGACTATTTATATATGCTGGTCAGTCGCTTGTTAAGGCAGTGTGACAAACCTAAAGATATATAAGCTGTTCTCAAATTCCTATTCAAAAGATTTTTCAGCTTTGTAATCTTTACAATGTTTTGCCTGGGAGTTAAAATCTAAAAAAAACAAAATTGCTTGACAAATTTTCTTTTTACTTTTTTGGTGCTACTAATTTATTCTTCATTTGGTTTTCTAACCAACAATAAAAGGATCTTTTGTTGTAAATAATTTCCATAATATCTCAGTGTATGGCATGTTGTATATAAAACTTCATTTTCTATTGATAGCCCTTATAAATTGTGTATGGAAATGTTATTCTCTTGATGTATTTCCATTTACTTTAGGAATTTGAAGATAATGTCAAATTGTTGGGTACTACAGCATTTGAAAGTTCAGGACAGGAACTTTATCAAAACATCATGACAAAATACACTTGGTTGCACAGATGCACCAAAACTGAACCAGGTAAGTAACCAACACTTATTATGAAACAAAGCATCCTTCAAAACTTTTTCAGAATTTTATTTTTAAAGCAAAAGTACACAGCTTCATGATTTTATTTAGCTTCAATACAATTTGCCTATAGATTAAATAAGTCTACAACCAAAGAGATTGAACAGATAAAGAAGAATGTTGTGTACACATTCATTGTACAGGGGGGTCGAAATCTTGTCACCTGTTACCTGTCTTCCAAACTGGAGGAACTCATGTAAGCCATCTGAAATAGAAAATTATATTATGTACGTGTGACAAGACTTTCAGACCACCCTGTAGGTTATCTTGTGTCATCCATCTTAAAATGACTTTGGTTTTATCTTCTGAAATCATCATGAATTTCTATCTGATTTAATAATTGAGTGGATTATAGAAAATTTACAAAGACGATTTCTTTGTATTTATTATATACTAATTAACTGATCTGTTTTTTTATGGCTTATCAACCCTTTGTAGGTTATTTAAAGCCGAAACATATTTTAGATTGGAAGAACAATTTTTTTTATGAGTGAATAATAATTACGATGATTTTTTCTGATATGAGTCCTATTCAACCAGTAGCTAGGGGTGGGGGAAATGGATTCTTACCTTTCCCAGGGGTATTTGCACGTAAGTGAATGGAACAAAGCTGACTGGAATCTGAACTTGATTCTGATTTCTCCTTTTGATTTGCTGTCTTTTACATCACCTGCACATCCATTTATTATTTATTTTTTTGAAGCAAAAGAAATTCCCTTTTCTAAATGATTGGCTAAGGTTGCAATGAAATATTTTTTTCTTTGATGTAAAAAGTATATTCTTTCAAATACTGAACAGTATTTCTAATAAAATAGATTGAAAAAGTAAGTTAAAAATCAATTTCTCTGGTTTGAATATATATATATATATATATATTTATGAAGAAGACAGAAACTGTAATTATCCATTTCATTTATAAATTTTATTTTGTGAATACAGATGTTCAACACATCAAAACGAAATCTCCTCTGCAAATGGAGAAATTTGCAGGAGATTTTTTTTCTGATGAGTTAAACATATATATAAAGAAAGAACAGTAAGATATATAATCCGGTGTTCTTATAGATATTTTTATTTTTACAAAATAGTGCTCAGTGTAAATTTACAGAGCATTAATATTATAAATTAATTGATTTAAAATATGTTTTTTTTCGCTACACAGTTCTAACCATGTTTCAAAAATGGAAGCTGAAAGCTTCGAATTTAATTTTGTAATTAAATTAAAGACATTAATTCCATTTCATCCTCAAGCGATATTTTGGAGTAACTTTTAAAATTACTGGGTTTTAAAGACACAGCAAAAATCATAATTCATGTTTCCAAGGATACAGAGAAATCCATTCAACCAGACAAGGGGTGTTTGCATGTTCATTATTGCTGTATTTTGATGTATCCGTTATTAGTTACGTTTTGGTAGGAGTAGGGATGTATTTTTCAATGAAGTCTGACATCCATTAAATGCATGTCGTCTGGATTATTTTAAAAATTTTATTAACGGCAAAAATTCTTACGGTATTTTTTTCTATTTGTATATTTAAAGATTTTTGTGGGGTGTTTAGGTTAGAATACGTTTTATTTAACTACGATTTGAAAAATATTTTCGCTTTTAATTTTAATATACAATATTTCTTTTAAGAACAATTAAATGTATTAGAATCACTTACAGTATGTAGAATTATTTTCACATCAAGTATAAGTATGTATATTATTAGGTCATAATTTTTTTTTAAATTTATATTTAAATATTATTTAAGTAAAATTTGACAATGATGGCAAAAATAGCTAATTAATTTCACTGATTTAGTAAACTTTTATTTTTTATATAAACCTAGTAATATATTGTTTCTCATGTAAGTACAAAGGACATGGGTCATTCAATGGCTTACATCTTCTAGCTTTTTATATTAATTTCATTTTACTGTAGGTGTTTTATTGGATTCTTTTAAGTGCTTGTAGTATTTTGGGGGAGGTCTTTAGGTTAGAATACGTTTTATTTATATACATTTTTAAAAGATGTTTAGGTTAGAATTTGTTTTATTTAACTACAATTTTAAATACAACTTTAAAATATTTTCACAGACTATATTTCTTTTTAAAAGAGGTAAATGTATTAGAATTACTTACAGTAAGTAAGTTTGGAGAATTTATTTATTATATATATATATATATATATATATATATATATATATATATATATAAACAAAAGATTTTTCCGTTTTGTACTCATTAGGAGCTTATTTACATTGATTTATTGCTTTAGTAATAAATTTATTTTTGTTGTGACTCCTTATTTGCTTCACGTATGTTTTTTTAGTTTCAACATACTGGTGAATAGTAATAAATTTATTTTTGTTGTGGCTCCTTATTTGCCTCACGTATGTTTTTTTAGTTTCACCATACTGGTGAATAGTAATAAATTTATTTTTGTTGTGGCTCCTTATTTGCCTCACGTATGTTTTTTTAGTTTCACCATACTGGTCTGCTGCATTCTCCATTATATGCTGTAGCTTTAGTTTAACAGTCTCCAAGGCTTTATTTCTTACTTCCGTTTTTATTTCTGGTTTTGTTATTTCAAATGATTAACTTATTCCAATAATATTACTACTTTTTTTTTTTTTTTTTTTGTGTATCACTTTTTAATTTTGCCATCTCGCTTTTCAAAACAAATCATTTTCATTCTTATTGTTCCCATTGATTTTTCTATATTATCAGAATTCCAGGAGGTGTTCGTCTAAAACCATATCTTCCTTCCTTTATCATAATGAAACAGCATCTTAGAAATACTGTCAGCATTACCTTCGTTGTATAAACTTTCTTGATGTTGTATTATGAGATTTTAAAAAAAGAATTAACATTTAAATCATATTTACCATAGTATAGTCTGAGTTTTCATGGTCGGTTTTTCATGCAAAAATTATGTGGTTGTACTATAAGTAATTTTTTGAAAGAGATTAAATATGCGGTTTCAGTGACTAGTTGCATTATACATAGGTAAATCTTTTTCTGGAGAGGTTAAAATTCACGCGTTGCATTAAACATGAAGTCTGCTTATACATGAGTATATATAGTATTCATTAACTGTTGTTGGTTAAATTTGAATTTTCATGGTAGAGTTTTCTATATAGATTTTTGTCTGAAGAGAATTACAAAGAACTTTGCAGGCACCTCTCTTTATTATATGAACAGTTAAGTTTTTTGATATTCTGCAGTAGTTACTTTTATTGCCATCACATCACATAGCGATTATTTTCTTTTGTGAAAGGAAAAATTTTTCTTCTCTTTGTATAATACTCTTATAAATATACAAAGTTTGTCCCTCGAGAGGCGTTTTACGTTTAAGGGGACATAACTCTGAAAAAAAAACCTGACTATAGTTGATCACTGGTCGTTATGGATCAAATAATTATTTATTAAAATTGTAAAAACATATTGCAGTAGTTTAGATATTTTTTTTTTAAGTTTTAATTGAGTAGGAAGTAACATAATGGTATAGTTATTACAAGGCAAAATACTTTCAGAAAATAATTTAAACCATTTTAATTTAATTAATTATGAAATCTGATTTGAAATTCCAACTTTTTAATAGCCAACTTTTTATCAGTTGATTTGTAGCTTCAACTGATGTCTTGACATTGTTTTCACACTAAAAGTATCACAGTAAATAAACATGTTGTTGGTGACCAAAGATAAAAAATATACCAGCAAATGTGAAGAATGAGATAATTTGTAGTCAACATCATAAAAAGCTATCAACTACAAGTTATCTTGTATTTGACACTCAGTTGTGTTGATATTTTCTAAAATCCTAAATTAACCTAAATATCAAATCATAATAATGACATATTGACATTTGTCAAATATAATTTAATATCAAAATATTATTTACGTTTTACTTAGAATTATATAAAAAAAATAGATTTATTTGTATTTCTTCCTTTCAACATGTTTGGATGAAAGTTTAAAAACATACTTAAATTTAAGCTTGTATCATGTAATCAACAATGTAAGGTAGACCAAGATTGATAAAAATGAAAACTGTTAACATGAAATATTTAAGAAGCTAACTAAAAACATATATGCCAATTAAAGGAAAGGTAATTTTAAATCTTTTAGCCCCCTGTATTATTTTACTGATGTGGAAACCTTTGCTATTAAATAATAATAAAGAAGGGAATATTTTTTGCCCATAAAAATTGCTAATATGCCAAATGTATATGCAGAAAACATCTTTTATTGGTTTTCTTTTAAGCAAAAAGTAAGAAATTTATCTTTATAGTTAATTTATTTATCATGAAATCCTCTTCAAAAAAGAGGATTCTTTATCTATTGTTGATGATTATTTTTTGTTGACATTTTAAAGACTGCTTCTATAGACACTGATTAGATAAAATATTATTTTAATAATTGTATAATAGGAGAGACATATGGAAGGAAAGTTTATTGTACCATTAGTATTTCCCCCATTATGGGCATTATTATATCCATGATATAATAACACTGTATTTCATGGATGGAACAGAATGGCTGAAAGGAAAAGGAATATCAAACATGCTTGTTTCTCAGAGAGATTTTTATACTACTAAGACATACGCAAAACTATATATACATGTGTCTCATGCTGAAAACAATATATCATATATAAATGCAAAGCAGAGTATAAGGGGAAACAAAAAGGAAGGGTCTTATATATAATATGGAGATACTCCTATGTCTGGAGAAGCAATGTTTAAGTCTCCAGGTTCAAACAGGCTGGTGCCCTGTCAGCAAGATTCAGAATATGCTAACTGCACCTCTGTACTAATGAAGCCATCTGTTTGCAGTGGGTGACAACCCATAATGTCTGGGGGTGGGATCCTGGTGGTTGGGTGCTTCAGGATTCAGGGTTAGTTACTTCTGATTTCCAACAGACCACTTTGGCTCTTACTTGGACTACACAGGCAGTCAGAGAGGCC